ATATACATTAGTTCAGTTCTATGTAAATTAGTGTTGAGTTCTAACTATACATATGCACATAACTATATCTGAAAGCACTAATGAGCAGATGTTTTAATACAGCTTGTGTATAATGTGGAACAGAAGGTGCCTTCATGAGTCAAAAGTTTCTGCCTGGAAGATCAGAAATATGAAAAGAGTGACGAAAAAATAATTGGGTATTTTCTTTTCTATTTTGATTCAAGCTCTATTTTTAGGGTCACTCTCTCCCACAAACCTCCATGACCGAGCAATACACAGTCACCACACAAGTAGACCTAACCTAAGTACTTTTTCCTTGGTAGCGTGAAATAGTATAACCAGCGGGGTATGCAAACGAAATAATAATGGCGGCATAATGTTAATTAATGAGCAATCGTTGATTTTTTTATGAGTTTTTACAGGTTATTTAAAGCCAGAAAATATTTTTAGATTGTAATATTTTTTAAAGATAATAATGGATCGTTGCTACAAGTCCTACTAATTAAACCTTAGATGAGAGAATAAGAGGTAGAACCATGCCTTTTCCAAAGTATATGCACATGAGTGAATATAACGAACCCAACTAGAATTGGAACTCGGATCTCCAATTTCCAGTTCCAAGCCATTATCCATTACACCACATGCACATCCAAGACTACAGCATCAGGTATTTCTAAGCAGTTACTCATCTAGGCTTGACATTGCTTAACTTTGGTTATCATACAAGAACTGGTACTTCAATGTGATCTGGGGTGTTGCAAGTGTGTTGCATTCATTTTCGCACAAATACTCTCTGGAAAGTTGTTAATCCATCTCTTCCCCCAACCAGTTATGACCCCATCAATACACAATATAATAAAAATACTACATAAAATAGTATTTATACTATTTGCATTAAGACTATTGCTCTCATCTTGGTTGTTGTCAACATTTTGGCTGTGGTACAACTCAGCATTCATAAAATATGTTGTATTGTCTACACTGGCTTTGAAATAGCACTTAGCGCAAAGGCAGTTTATGACATAAATGCAAGGGTCCAACATTTTCTGGTTTCTTGAAGATAGATAGATAGATAGATAGATAGATAGATAGATAGATAGATAGATAGATAGATAGATAGATCAGAAAAGAGTGAAACAGATAGCTAGCTAGCTAGCTAGCTAGATAGATAGATAGATAGATAGATAGATATGATCAGAATGAGAGAGATAGAAAGATAGATATAAACAGAATGAGATAGATATAAACAGAATGAAATATATGTATATAGATATATATAAACAGAATGAGATGGATAGTTGCGAACAGAATAAGACAGATATAAACAGAATGAGATAGATAGATAGATAGATACGCACAGAATGAGAAAGATATGAACAAAATTACATATATACATAGATAGATAGATAGATAGATAGATAGATAGATAGATAGATATAAACAGAATGAGATGGATAGATGCAAACAGAATAAAATAGATATGAACAGAATGAGATAGATAGATAGATAGATAGATAGATAGATAGATGTCAACAGTAGGCAATGTTAATTTCAACATGTATGTTGACATCAGCAGAAGTGTTAATAATTAGCTTTTATAATTTTAATCAGGGTAGACACTACCTGTCTTGTCTACCCAGATGATGAAATTGCATCTTTCGCTATTTTTTTCCCTCTCTCAATTGGAAAACATAAAATCTTCACACTGCTTTTACTATGTGAATCTCAAGAGCTTTCAATAAAAGTGAACATTTTACATGTATTCCCAGAGGGGCAATAGCATAAGATTCAAAATAACATTTTTGAACACATCAAAGACAAGGTAACCAACACAAAAAAAAAACTTCCAACACAGGTAAATTCGGTGGTACAGGCAGACCTCTTTAATCCAACACACTTGGGACCAGGTAACTGCTGGACCAGACATATTACCAGATGATAGAAATCACCCCTAAAAATCACTCTATGTAAACATAGTCTTAACAGCTCATTCCACACATACCGGTTGTAACAGCAAAATTGTCCAATTGTTAGATTAAGCTCTGAACCATTGTATCATGGAAATGATTAAAGATATCTTACTGGAATTCTCCAAGGTTTTTATAACACTATTGGACTCTACTTTGAGCAGTAAGAATGTATAATTACTCTACAAGCTTAATAGAAGAATCGTCATAAACTTGATCATAAATGAAAATGATATGTTCATCATAGCTAAGGATCAGAAGCTCATGTTCTTTGCTCCCTCTAACTTTTTGTCCTGGAGTAACAAGTTGCCTCAAAGCTTTCACATATGATTTAATTTTCAAATTTTTTGTCACTGCTCTTCAAACTGTCATAGGTGAAACTCCTCTCTCATGTGGATTGAGTTGGATCTTTTCTAATTGATCTCTTTAGCTCTAAGTTGAAATGATGATCTCTCTTCCTGTTGAGACTTCCAAAACCAGTTTTCCTCTCTACTGTTCCCTCCTTTGTAAACTTTTTTACTGTTCTCTTTAAGTCAGAATATGAAAGTCCTGAATTATCATTTTCCTCTCACCATTGCTCAGTTGGAAAGACACTAGGTCTGAAACAGAACAATTTTTCTAGCTGAATAACTCAAAGTGTTTTCTAGTAATTCTTATGACAAATGATGTCAAGATGACTAAACATCTTATCTGAAAAGATGGAAAAAAAAAATCCAATTAGTTTAGTGAATTTTAAACATACTGTGGGATGGACAATTATGCTGTTATATGATTTGGACAATTTTGCTGTTACACCGGTATCTAACCAGTAATTATGGGTTAATCATTTATATATCTATGTTTCTAAATCAGTCTTTATTTCTGAAATTAGATATTGTAACTATTTACATTATTTACATTGGTTGGGCTGTTGCCCTTATATTTATTGCCATATTCACAATATTTCAGCCATTGTATACTCCCGCCTTCTTCAGGTGATATACATTCAAATTTCAAACAAAACCATGGATTTAGTCAATAGATTATTCTAATCCCACATGAAATGCCTTTGGATATCTCAGTGTGAAGTACCTTGTTACTCCAGGACAGAAAGTTAGAATGTTAGAAAGGGTTAGGATCATCTAGAATATGTTGGAAAATGATCCTGAAATAATATATATATTTGAACTTTATTTCCATCCTTCATGATCTTTTGATCCTTAGCTATGATTAATTAATGATGAATATGTCATTTTCATTTATGATCAATTTCATCACAATTTTCTGTTAAGCTTGGAGAGTAATTATATTGTTTAAAGTAGAGTCTAATAGTGCTAGAAAAACGTCAGAGAATTCCAGTAAGATATCTTTAATCATTTCTATGATACAACATTTCAGACCTTAATCTAACAATTGAACAATTTTTCTGTTACATGATTTGAACAATTTTTCTGTTAAATCCGATATATATATATATATATATATATATATATATATATATATATATATATATTAATCATTTCACTCCAAGTAAGGCAATAAAGTGACTAAGACAAGAGTTTATTGTGCATTAGAGAATATAAGAAAAAAAACTCTATTAAAGAGAGAGAGAACAATAAAAAAAAACAAGAATTAAGAAGACAGGAGGTAACAACTGATATTGCATTTAAATTTATGAAGCTCAAATTTGGCTGGAAAGTAAGAATCCAGAACATAGTTCTGCAATTGAGAAGTGTGAGAGAAGAAACTGTTGGCATAGAACTTACAGTTACATCTAGCCATTTCAAATCTAAAATGATGAGACCTAACCACTAATCTAGTAATGAGCTTAAATTCATAAAGTCTATCTTTCATAGCAGAAAGTTATTCAGAACAATTACCATGGAAACTTATATAGAAAAGGTGCAGGGAAGCTATGTTATGGCAGTAGGAAACTAACTGAAGCCGAGATGCCAGGTTAGGATCAATAACATTGCAGGTTCTTTTTTGGATCTTATCAAGAGCCTT